CTTTTTTTTATAGTTTCATTTTCATCACTTCAATACCAAGAGTCAATCACTTTTTCTAAGACTCATCTTTAATGCCGACACGTTATGCCATTTCTTCAAAAGTTCATACAAAATTGTCCATTATTAGCTTTGATAACACTTATTGGAAGACCCAATAATTGTCAATAATTACATGAAAAGAAAATTATTTCAAATGGAGAGAATATATTAATTTATATAATTATGTAGAAAATTCGTTATGTATATCCTTGAGTGCAATTGTTTGGTACTATATCATAATAATAGAATCATATATATATCGACACCAAAACTCTAATGACTTGTACATTGAAATTTTTTTTAATATAACTACCGAGTGGGGTGGTACAGTAGAGTACTGATCAAATTTTTTACCTTGAGATTGGATGTTCAAGTCTTAGAATTTACATTAGGGATCAGTAATTGACTGTTATGCTAGTTTCTCTAGGTTCGTTCCAAAGAAGAATAACGGACATAGTCAAACACCTCATTATTCCACCAATAAGAACCTATTGGAGCAGTCTCTATACACTTTCTTTTGTACCTATCCCTTTTCTCAATAGCAATAAAATACCTAATACACCTTTGTGCATAACAAAAACCCAAGTTCCCCTTTTTATATCCCAAACCAGACCCCCCCCCCCCCCCAAAAAAAAAAAAAAATTCTATTCTTCCCTCAAACAAACTATTTTTACCAAGATTAGCTGCACTGCACTTCCACCATCCTTGGCATTGAGTTCGTAAACCTTGAATTCTCCAAGTTAGTGACCAGGAATACTACAACCAGTATGTGGCGCATGAAATTTTACATGAAAAACATGTATCACCATTACAAATGCGCTAAACTTGACCTCACCATGACCCATCCCATGACATGAACGGGCGGGACTCCGAGCAGGACACGCAACCCCTGCCCCATTTCATAGCAAAGCATGTGCTCTGGGATGAAAACCCAAATTTAGAAGCCACCTCACACTCTGACAACCTATCTTTAAGAACGATTAGCAAGTGAAACCTACAGTTCAACTTGTAAGTTAACCCCTTTTATGCACCCCCCCCCCCTCCCCCTCTCTCTCTCTCTTCATTTATACACAACCATACAAAACTCACTCAAACCCACCTAGTTCACCATCAGTCAAAATCAGTCGAAACCCCAAATCCACCACCTCTAGAACCATTCCAGTGATGCATATAAAATCAAGTTGTTAGGACCATGTTAGCATAATATTAAACTAAAATTTCAATTATCATAATATCTAAGGTACCATGTCCAACTCATATATTAACAAAATAGGTTTAATTTTTAAGTCCCACCAATATTATTCTATATTAGATATCCAAATATAATTCATTAATTACACTCAATAAAATTGTTGATATGGATGAATTCGATGCTGAATGAATTTGGTAGGAGCATTAAAAATAGATCTATTAAATTTCTGAATTTTGAGTAGAGTTTCGGCTTAACGAAGGAGGAAGCAAAGTGAGCACTAATAAGGTATCCAAGCACCTTTGTGAATTACACTTGTAAGAAGCATTTCAAAATAATATGACTACAAAAGGAGTTCAAGATCATAGACTTATTGGGTAGTCTTTCCCTCCTGCAGGTTGGCTGATAATGAATACAGATGGATGCTCAAAAGGGAACCTGGGGTCAGCAGCAGCAGCAGGAGGAGTGTTAAGAATTGACCAAGGACAGTCGCTATTGGGATTCTATGGAAAGCTTCCGAATCTTACCCGTACACAAGAAGAGCTTTGGGCTATCTTTTGAGGACTTTCAACTCATCCAGAGTGAAGATCTGGACAAAGTCATCATGAAAACAGACTCTCTGAATACCCGTAAACTGTTAGCGGCGAGGGGTGATTCTCCACTGTCCCCCAACTGACTTTAAAGGAGGACTTTTGAACAATGATATTGCTGGAATCTCTTTTTGTTATAGTTAGTCTAAACAACACCACTGTACGCTCTCTCTTTAGCACCACGTCTCTTATTCATAGGAGGTCTTTCTCAACTAGCAGGTTTTTTTCTCCAAAAATTCTATTTATTCTGGTGGAATAGTTATCTTAACCATTCCGCCATTCTTGACTTTAACACGAATACAATGACACAAATCGGTCCAGAGTTCCACTTTCACCTTTTCTTAGGAATGGACTACATATGCCCAAAAATTAAAAGTAAATTATACTTTGACTTTCTATCAATTATGGCCACAACTTTATTTTTTTGAATTAATAAAATTTGCACATTATTTTTAAAATTATTTGAATTGGCTTTTGACATTTCGAATCAAGGGCAGAACCAAAATTTTTGTTTATCTCGGGCTAAACTAAGCATTTATAAGACTAACAAATACAAATATAAACTCATAAACATATATATAATAGTATAAATGTAAACTCATACTTAAATGATTTCTACATAGATAAATAGTTAAATATTTAATGAAATGATCACATATTGGTCATGTAATACTGTCTGAAAAAATAACACGTGATCATTGTCGTAAAAAAACTTAACGAATTATCAAATTTAAAAACAAAATAACACGAATTAAAATTTTAGTAATCAAATTAATAAAACGAATATATTTTAAGCATAAAAATACTATTAACTAAAACAAATATGTAACAACTTATATTGAAGGTTATCACTCAATAATTGATGATTCTTCCCGAAGCCACTAGATTAGCAATGCCCAACAACCAAACCAAACCAAAACCTCTTTTATTAACTAATGAATTAGCCTCACTGGCCTCATAAATTCCACACGCCAGATATTTTGAACCTTCTCAAAAGACCCAAAAAATAAAATAAAATAAAAATAAAAATAATAATATAATACAAAAATTTGCACACACAATCCCCACACATACGTAAAATCACATGCATTATCAAAAACTCTTACTCCTTTGCAACACCGCATGCTCTCCCAAGCAGTACAACTACACGTCCTCCTAACACCCACTGGCCCCACATCTCTCCACGTATCACCCTCCTGCACCGTTGATCTTTCATTCAATTTACTCACACCATGAACTACCGTGATTTGAACCACACGCAAGCATTTCTCTTCATCATCCTTCATAAACATCTTGGTCGACCGACAGAGTAGACAGGACATGTGAGACCCCAGCCACGTGTCAATGCACCGAGATGGAACAAGTGTCCACAGTACGGAATTAATTTCACAATTTATTTTTTTTTCGAATTCCCCCAAGCAAATTAGGCAGTCCTCGATCGGGTGGTTCGCGTCCGCACCGCAATGAATAAGAGGCAGAGATTTGACGGTCTGGGTCGAGGCCTTTGGAGTAGTGGTGGGGCCTTAATAAAGATGAAGAGGGTGGCGATGGCTGTCTACGACGGCGGACGTCGGTGCTGCCATCGTTTTCGTAGCCGGTGAAACGGCGGATGTAGATGGAGAAGAAGCCCATGAAAAAGAGAGCTGTACGGATGACGAGGATGGTTAGGGCTCTAATAATTTTTTTTTTCCCTGGGCTTCAGCCCCATCACAGCCCACTAATAATTTCGTCCTTGTTTTCAATGGTAAACATTCATTACGTTTTTGGGCATAAAATGTCTAAACCTATAAGAACAATAGATATTTTTAAAGTCTAGAAGTGAGCCAATATAAAATCAATAATAATAATAGTTAAGATGCATTGCGAAAAAACATGATAGTTGAGAAAAAAAATGTGAAACTAATAACTATATTAAAGATATATTGTAAAAAAATGTGATAATCGAATAAAAAATATGAAATATCAAAGACATAATTGAGGGGATCAAAGTATATTTTTTATACCATCCGAGTTAATGGTCTAGGAATAAGTCATACCTGTTTAAGGTCATTCTTGACTCTAATATGATTATTAAGTAGAATTCGATATACAAGTGTAACATGACTTGCTGTTTGATTTTGTGGTGTTGTGATGACAGGTTACTTAAATCGAACATTTTACATGGGACCCACATGGTCACGGTATTACTACCTAGGGATTAGACAATTAGTGTGTATTCATTATCTTTTTTGTCCTTATCACATGATTTCAGTTTAAAATATGGTTAGTTTATTTTGTGCGTGCGTGTGTGTTTGTTATTGGAAATTTTGTGGTGTTGTGTTATCAATTTTGAATTTCAAATTCGTAAACTAAGTAATTTAGAAATATATCGATTGTTTATCTGAAACGTTGATTTTCTTTCATTCGTGTCGTTATTTGTTAAACATGTATAGGTGGAATTCCAGACGATTGGTATCTTTTTGCATGAGACCTTGTTTGGCGTGTGCTTCGTTAAACCTATAAGCATTTGTATGTTACCCTGTATTTTTTGCTCCCTTAATTGATCCATTATTTTATGTGTTTTTGTTCTTGTTTTTTGATATGCAATTTATATAGATATTTCTATAGAGGTAGATGAAGAGATTTAAATATATGTTTATTATGCTGTTAATTAAAAAAACGTCTATCCAAATGTTTCATCTCAATATATCTATTATAGAGATACACTGAATTCAGTCAATATTAGTAAATGTATGTTAATGTACATGTGAACTATCAGATAATGAGTACGTTAATCGAAAACATGCCATTTTTTTTAGTGTATTTATCTAACAAAACGTGTTTATGAAATTTTTTTTTTATTATGATAACGTAATTTTTTATAATAGGTATTTTAATTACGTGATGATATTGTCTTTATTTTGTAATTTTATGACATTAATTATGTCAATTATTTTGATTTTTCAAAAAAAGACTTAATCTAAAAATAAATTCACAAATAGATTTTTTTAGAATCCTATTAGGTCTGAGTACCGGTTCCAAAAAACTCGACTTTTTTTTATCAAAATAGAAAAAACCCGCCAAATAGCCCGAGGAAAGAAAACAGCACTCAGAAGCCTGACCCGAGTGGGTCTCAGCTCCGGTAATTTGGACAAGAACACGCGCAAGTTGGGGCCGAACGGTCACTCCGTCGAGTTCTTTCACTTTCTTGTTCAGTTGTGGGGGTTTAGGGTTTCTGAATCATATTCACTGCCACGGTATGTACATTCTCTCTCCTTCTCTCTCTCTATTAATTTTGGTATATATGTGCTTCATCTGAATTCGGAGGATCTTGATTTTCGCTCTTAATTTTGGTTGCCTTTTGGAGTTCTCAGGTGAAATGTATTTCTTCTTGATTTGAGTATTTCCAGAAGATTGGAAAGACCTAGTTTGGTTTCATTTACATCTCTGATTTCTCGCTAAGCGTCATCCAGAAGGGGACAGTTTTCTCAGGTAAAATCTCCCAACACAAATCTCTCTCTCTCTCTCTCTCTGTGCATACTTGATCAAGGCGCGTGCGGAGGTTCCCAATGTGTTTGACTAGTGTCCCGTATCATTTCGGATGGCTTAGTAGTGCCTAGATTTTTTTTGTATTGTGTATTATTTGTTACGATAAGATTAGATGTGCGTATGTGAACTCTTGGGTACCCTTTCCACCCATGAGTTCATAATAATTGGTATCAGAATAAGCCACCACGTTGTCGAGAATGACATCAAACTTAGTCTGATTTGCAGCTCTCTGTGGTTTGAGCGCCCAAGTGAGCTGTTTTTGCATTGGCAGTTAGTGCTGTTGTTTATTATATTAGCGGACATCATCTACGAATTATAAATGCTCAGCTCATACTCAACAAAATCTTATTCAAACTACTGGACACAAGCATCTTCTGAATCCCTTGATAAATGTAGCACTAGCTGCTAGTAAAAATATGTTTCTTGTAGTAGAATTCCAATACCCAAGGGGTTGTTTGCTGCTTTACTTGAAAAGAAAAAGAGATACACCTAAGGAATGCTTAATTGGGCTGACAAATAAAATGCTCAGTCTTAATCCACTGGAATGATAATATTACATTTACAGACATCATATTTTGAAGGAGTAGTATTCCCTTTATACTATGCATTTAACTACCTGATCTGGGGATCCATTTTTATTTACACGAAATACTACCAGAAGTCGAGGATGATATGTATCTTTCCATGAAAGATACTTATAAATTTGAGGACTCCCTATAAATTTGGACTCTCTAGCGTATATTTATATTTGGAGAATTATTTGTCATTGTCGTACAGTTTGTAAACCATGCTTTCTGGGACAAAAGCATTTAATCTTTATGTGTTTATTTCTTTATTATGGCATTTTCGTCATTAATGCTATATTTTCCATTTTAGTTCCTCTCGTGATGCAACAATACATATTATGTGTTAACTGCTACTCATTCGCGTTTTGACAGCTAAGGATATCCAAATGGATTCGGGTACAGTTCAGCAGTCTGAATTGTTGTCTGCGAAAAAGGAATCTATGGACATCGATATTCCTGATGAAAGTAATGGAAGCACTGCTGGGATAAAGGAAAATGGATTTCATCTTTATCCTGTTCCTAGTAATGATAAAGGTGAAGGTTTGCCCTATGCACCTATAGATTTTCCTAATCCTGGTGATAATTGGATCTGGAAGGTGGGGAAGAGAATTGCAGCTTCTGGATATCATATGGATAGATACTTGTATCTTCCTCTCCGTCTTCATGAAAGCTGCAGTGGACGTAGGAAAAACGGATTTGCAAGCAAGCTATCAGTGGAACAGTATATCCGGACAGTATTCCCTGGTACAAATGTTGATGCATTTTTTGCCTCCTTCAGTTGGAAGATTCCCTCAAGAAAGCTATATGAGAAAGGAGGTCAGGTTTAGTTCAAGATTGTTCTGTTTCTACTGTTTTGTTAATGGCATAATTGGGGCTTAATTTGTCTGAAACACAATTATGTGGACCTGCTATGGTATTCTTGTAAAATGCTTCACTCTTTTATAAGTCTGGTATCAATGTGGATGCCTCCTTCAGTTGGTGCATTTTTGATTTCTCAAAGTTATCAGCAATGTTTGTGTATATATATATACACACACACATATATTGAACTGCTATTGTGAAGAAAATTTACTAAGAATTATTGCTTGAGTTTAGGTTGTCAGATTGATGCCTACATTCAGCAAATGATTGTGTTTGTTTACTCCCAACTTGTATATGCGAGGAAAATATTTTTGCTCCTGTTCTCCCTGATCCTTAATCTCACCAGCTTTCATATTTGGTGACATTGTTTTTTTATCAACTTGCATACCCTCATCTTCTTGGTAATCTACTGTATGATCACTAATGTGGATGGATGAGTTATCATCAGAATGGATATTTGAAGGGCTCCTCACAATTATTGGGAGAATGTAATGTCTATGCATATATATAGTTATTTCCCTTAACACATTTTTTTTTCATTTGTTTTTGTTAACAGAAGCTCAACCTCTGTGTAGGTAATGCAGAAGGGCTTGCAATTGGCTTTGTTCCTTCCAGGGATATAATGGACCATTCAGGGCCTGATTCCCAATTTGGGACTGCAGGATGTAAGGCTGGTAACAAAATGTGTAACAGTTTAGAAGAAGCTAGGAATCCCTCTCTTGAAGCCATGTTGTGCGACGTCTGCTGCAGTGAGCCTGGTTTCTGTCGAGACTGTTGTTGTATTCTTTGTTGTAAGACTATAAGTTTGGCCTATGGAGGCTATAGTTTCATTAGATGTGAAGCACCTGTAGCTGGGGGCTTTATTTGTGGACACCTTGCCCACATAGACTGTGGTCTCCGATCTTATATGGCTGGGACTGTAGGAGGAAGCATTGGTTTGGATGCTGAGTATTATTGTCGGCGTTGTGATACAAAAACAGATTTGGTTTCACATGGTATGAAGCTTTTAAAGACCTGTGAATCTATTGATTCTCGGGAAAACATTGAGAACATTTTGAATGTTGGTATTTGCATTTTGCGTGGCTCACAAAAAACAAGTGCAAAGAGGTTGATGTCTCATATTGAAATGGCCATGGCAAAGGTAAGTGTACACATGTTAGTTTCTTTTTTTTTGAAGAAGTTTGTCCTTGTTTCTAGGGTTTCTATATTGGCAACATGACTAATTTGATATTTACAGCAGCTCAGGAGTGGGTCTCCCCTTGAAGATGTTTGGAAGGTAGAAGACATCTCTGCTGTAGTGGCAGGTAACTTTATCTTTCTAACCTACACTGTTCCAAGTTATTATCTCAATCTATGGGAGATTTAGACTTTGAACGGGGTGTTGTCAAAACAGTTCCTTTCTATTTTATGGCCCATATGTAAGATGCAGCCCACAAGATCTTTTTATTGGTATGATTATTGATGGGTGTAATTTACGTAGTTGTATAGCAGAGCTCGGGACTCAAAAGGGAGGAATGAATTGGAGATTCATAAGGGACATTAATGGAGTTCATTGGAATACCCAGTCAGAGCTACTAGGCTCTCGATGGTTAAACAATCAACACAAGGATAATAATTGAGAATAGAAATCAATAGACATAGTGTTTACCAGCTCAGAAGATTGATTAGTTTAATCTAATGGAGTCTCTTGGACTTATGAGAGTTTTTTATTGGTTGGGGAAGACGATTACAATGCTCTTGAGAGTCAATTCAAAGATATTTGTTCCTTTAGAATGTGAGGGATCAGTACCTATATACAGTGTGAGGGAATATGGTCTTGGCATAATCCATATGATCCCTCCAGGGTTGTTATGATCCATATGAGAGAAGGTTTGGTTGTTGGAGGCTACATTTCTTAGGTGTGATGTGACCTTCTAGAAGGTGTAAGTTGTCGCTGTCGTTGTGTGCAGGAGAGTTACGTTGGTGCTAACTCTTGAGCAGCGGTTCTCGACCTAGGAAGTTTGAGCTGTGGTCATGAGTTGGGTAGCTAGAGACTAGGAGCTCAGCTAATTCGTTTGACATGCATGTCTTGAGTTAGAACTCAAATTTCGATGTCATCATGCAAGTCCCCATTGGGGGCATACTTCCGAGCTATATCTGGACCGAGCTGTATCTTAATTTTTAGTATCCTCAATTGCCCCCCAGTCCTGAGCCAAGTCTACCTTGCTTGACATGGATTGAGACTGAACTGCGTTTTTGGTTGTTGATAAGCTCGCTCATACTCACTTGGAATAGATGTGATGGGATGTTTCTAGGGATTTAGATGTTATGCGTGTGAGAGGAGTCACTCGTGCTTTGATTATCGTGTACGTTCAGTGTTGCTGCAGTACGCATCCAGCCGTACAATCGCCTTAAATGCCTTTGCATAGAAAATTGCCAAAATTTTCCTATTTCAACTTTTTTGCTTTTTAAAATTCCGCTACGCTTTTTCTAGAAAACCCTCTCTCTCCACTTTTTGCTTTGCGGCTTCATCTTCCTTCCTTCATATGTCCTTCAAGAATTCTCAACAAGCACCCCGACCTTCCTTTGGATTATTTGGAGGACTTTCAAAGCTTCTTTCACCCTTCCTAGTCATTTTTCTTGGTTTCTAATCGTCGATCGCCTCCATTTTCTAGGTACGCCCTCTATCTTGTTTCTTCTTTAGCTTCTCTTTCCTAGGGTTTCCTAATTAACCCTGGATCCTTTGAATTCGAGGTGGTTCTTTCATTTTTGGTTGCTTTGTTTTTGTTATTTTAGGAGCTCGGGTTGATCTTTATATCATCTTCCCTTTTCTTGGACCCCTACGCGACTACTAGGGTTTTCCTTTTTGATCGTTGGTGCCTGGATCCTCGAGCCATTGAGGACTATTCTTCGAACGTCCTTTCTCTCTATACTAATTTTGGCTATTTTGTGCCTTCATGTCTGCTTCTTCTGAGGCTATAGGGTCTATTGTCTCCCTTATTATGGTTGATAGATCTCCTTAGATCCGGTCTTGTCGTTGTAGACGGATTGGTTTTGATGCTAAGGACGATCTGCCGAGCTCCCTAAGGTGAGTGAAAGGGTGAATTTGTCAAATCTTGATGAGGTCGGTGACCTTGGAGATATGAGCGATGAGATAGATAACTTCGAGGTCGACGTGATCAATGCTTGCGTTTCTGGCACCGGGCTTTCTTGTTTTTTCTTGGCTCATCTTCGAAGCCTAAGAGATCTTGGAGGAGACGGACTAGGAAAAATGTCATCGGGGCTTCAGGCTCAACTGGAGAGGATGAAAACACCCCGAGCACCTTAGATGCCTTAGGACCTAGTAGAATTACCCCTCATCTGCTTAGCATACTCTTTGCCAAATTCGGCTTCCCTAGGAATATGCATGTCTGGTGTCCCAATGTTGACAATTGTTACAACATTGTGATTCTTGAGAAGACTTACTTCTTCTCCACTGCTTTTGAGTACGGGCTTTGGTTTCTCATGCACCCCTTTCTAAAGTCCGTGTTTTTGTACTTTAATGTATGTCTAACTCAACTCTCGCCCAACTTCTAAGGTATCCTAGTGGAACTTATGATTTTCTTTAAAGAAAACGGCCTCGTTGGCTTCCTAGTCGTTCCTTTACTCGTGAATTTCTTCAATGTCAAGTTCTCTCCTACCAAAGACTTCCTTTATAATTCGAAACGGGTGAGACTCGCCCTCTAACAAGTGATCTGTCGACCTCCCACAAGGGTTAGAAAGATAGCTTGTTCTTTGTGTCGGGCCAGGAATGAGAGTTCCACCTAATGCATGTGTCTCAAGCTTGGTCAAACCCAAATAAATTGGGTGAGTCCAGGCCGAGGTGTCTTATTTGAGCTTTGTTCTCATTTGTCCTTAACTTTTCGATTGCTAACGTCTTTCCTTGTTGTTTCAGGTATTTGCCCTAACCTCAGCGCCGATGTCAAGCTCATCTCACCATCGATCTAAGCACGGATTAGGCTGCCAGTGGCAAAGGGTGAAGCTGTTGTACCTCTTTTGCAGTTAGAGGAGAAGACCTTCATGGTAAGACTTTCACCTTATAACTTTTGTTAGAATTTCATCCTATTTTGTAGGATCTTTGGCTTAATCCTTTGTTTTCCTTTCCTGTTTAGATCTTGATGCCATGGCTTTAGACACTGATGTCGTTAAGGCAAAGTCGGCCAAGATGAGGACTGACACTAAACCTCAGAGGCTGCTGGAAAAAGGAAGGTTGAGGTTGTGTTCGATGCCGATCTAGAGCCTTTAGAAAAAGTGCTAAAGAAGGACCCCAAGGAAAAGGCCCCTTCTACTCCCAAGTCGTCTACTAATGCTAAGAAGGTCAAGGATCCTCCTTCTGAGCTCAAGAGGACTCCTGCAGAGGTGGCCAAGACCTCTGTCGTGCCTAAGGAGGTGATGAAGACCTTTGTTAAAGCTACTCCATATCTTCACGATCTCCTTCCAGCGCAGACTTTAAAGGAAACACTTTCAAGGGTGCTTCATGTCGCGTTGGGGAGTCCTTCAGCTAGTGTGGCCAAAGGTGAGCACTCTTTTCTGAGCGACGTGAACCTAGCCGTCAGTGCTATGCTCTCAATCATTCCCGAAGCCGACATCCTGAAGGTTTCCTCGATGTCTTTTTCTACCTTAGCTGCTAGTGCCTTACACGAGGCAACCTCGGTAAGTTCCTGACCTCTATCTTCAGGGTTTAATGGAACCCTCTTGCTGACCTCTAACTTGAGTTTATTTCAGTTTTTGTAGATGGCGATACACATCAGTGCTTTGGTTAGCAGAGTTCGAGCTTCAGAGAAGGTTGCCGAAGATGCCAAGAAATTTCTCAAGGCCTCTGAGCTCAAGGTTGCAAAGCTAATCTTTGAGAGTAATGATCTCAAGAAGAAGGTCGAGGAGCTAAGCTCGTCCAAAGGGAGGCTCGAGACTGAGGTCAAGTTGAAGACAGATAGTCTTGTGCAAACTCAGAAGGATGTGGTGAAAGTATGGGAAATGGCGAAGTCGGCAAAGGATGACTTGAAAGAGCTAAACATAGTCCACGACACCTACCACAAGGAGTTCAAGGCTGAGAAGTCTAAGGTGGCTGATAGAGATACCACCATCGTTGATCTGAAGGATGAAAATGCCACTGCCTGGGCCAAGGGCTACTTTGCCTTCTAGAAGCAGGCCATGAAGAAGTATCCTAACCTAGACTTCGACTTCGAGCCTCCCCTTAGAGAAAAAGGGGAAGAAGAAGAGGGATATTCGACTGAGGAGGAAGAAGCTAATGAAAAGGAAGTTGCAGCTATGGATGGGGCCATTTCTGATCTCACTCAGCCAGTGGTTGCTTCGGATGAGGTGGAGAACTCAACTCCCATTCTGCCTGAAGGTCAGATGGATGTCACTGTTGAAATGGCTAAGAGTTAGGAAGAGACTACTAACCCAACCGTAGATGCATAGCCTGAGCTACAGATGCATAGCTTCTTTGTTTTCTTTTTGAACAATGAACTTTCAGCTCCGTAAAACTTCCATTTAGTTTTAAATGGCAATTGGCTTTGAAAAACCTGTCTAATTAGTATCTTTTTCTTTCTTTATGCTTGAGATTGTGGAAATATGTCTCCTTCCTTGCCCCTTGTTTTAAGAAGGGTCTTGGTCTTCTGGGAGTAGTTGTTTCAAAACTGTTAGTTTATGGGGCCAAGTCTGAGGTCTGCGTGGCCCCATAGACTTGGGCTCATTGAACGTTTATGAGCTTGAAGAGCTCATTTTGCATTTATGAGCTAAAAAGCTCATCGTTTGGGTATGAGCTTAAGAGCACATCTTTCGCTTATAAGTTGAAGAGCTCGTCGTGTGTCTATGAACTTAAGATCTCATTGTTTGTTTATGAGCTGAAGAGCTCATCGTTTGTTTATGAGCTAAAAAACTTATCTTATTTTAATGAGCTTAAGAGCTCATCGCGTTTTCTAAAGGAATGAGTTGAATCTTTCATTCATTGATGGAAGATCTTTACAAAGAATTTCAGTAGGAATCAAAACAATCTTTCTTACAGACGGTGCCAAACTGATGGTGTAATTTACATGGTCGTGTAGCAAAGCTCGGGGCTAAAAAGGGGAAAATGGATTGAAGATTCGTAAAGGACGTTAATAGAGTTCACTAGAATACCCGGTCAGAGCTACTAGGCTTTCGATGGTTAAACAATCGACACAAGGATAATAACCGAGAATGGAAATCAATAGACAAGAGATTTATAGTGGTTTACCAGTTCAGAAGCTTGGCTAGTTCATTCTAATGGAGTCTCTTGCTCCTGGGAGAGTTTCTATTACAATGTTTGGAATCAGTCTTGAACGTGGTCTTGGCGTAATCCATGACTCCTCTAGGGTGGTTATGATCCATGTGAGGGAATATTTGGCTATTGGAGGCTATATTCTCTATGTGTGACGTGACCTTCTGGAAGGTGTAAGCTGTCGTTGTCATTGTGTGCACAAGGGTTACGTTGGTGCCGACTCCTGAGTGGCGGTTCTCGACCTAGGAAGTCTGAACTGACGTCATGAGCTGGGCAGTTAGAGACTGGTAGCTCAACTAATTTGTCTGACCTGCATGTCTCGAGGGCATACTTTCGAGCTGTATCTGAACCGAGCTTAATCTTGGAGAATTTTTGATATCATCAATTATCTTTTTGAATTCAGAGGCATATGCTTTATATTTTACCACTCGCAATGTCTCCTCTAAGATATGACATGGCTTAGTCCATGTGCTGATTTCAGTATCACTTGATGCCCAAACACCCCATTGTATGTTTTGTTGGTTGAAATCTTGTGTATGTTAGAGTTGACCATCAGCCAGCTATTCTCAAATTTTACTTGTACAAAATGCTGTTTCCACCTTAACTTTCACTTCAAGTAGAACGAACTTAGATTGTTACTAACATAGTGTAATACCAAGGCCTTTAACATTTCATCAATTCCATCTCATTGTAGGAGAAATGTCTCATCATGGAGATGATGCTTTGGAAGTCTCAACTCACAAGGAACCTCTAGATCAAAGACTAGGCTCAATGCATATTTTATCTGGAAATTTTGACCATCGAGTTGAATCGCTAAAATTGGAGGATGAGATTGATCAAATTTTGCAGGCGCTGAAAAAGTCACAGGAGTCCGAATACAAAATTGCAGAGGAAAGGCTTTTCGCTCAGAAAAATTATCTTCTAAATCTATATCAACAGCTTGACAAAGAGAGGTCCGATCTTTTAAGGTACACATCATCAACTGACTCAGATACGTTACTCGACACTGTCCTTAAGAGGGTGGATCAGATAAAATGGGAGGTCAAAAAACTCAGGGATATGCAAGAAGTGGCCAAGGGATTCGGAAAAACTTCAAAAGATACTCTAAAAGAACATTTTGGTATAGAAATGGAGCATTGACAACCATTTTTTAGTACATGATGATGTCTGTAGTCACCAGCTGTTTGTGTTGAAAGTTTTGTGGAGGGGGGTTACACCTCTAGATAGATCATTTGTGATATACTGATATTCAATCAACAGCCTCGGCTGGTTTTCTCGGAGATCACATTTACCGGTGAATGTAACGCTAAATTCGCTCGAGAGTAGAACTCATTCGGATGATTTACAAAGTTTGGAATGGGTTCTGCACTGTTCCATGTCCTTTGATCAATGCATGCTGATGTTAGAGAAAATGACATAGAAACGATCAGTACATACCGGAGTTTAAGAGAGGTAAATGATAGATAATTGTTTTATTATTATTTTTTTTAAAAATTAATTTTTGAATTTGAATCTATAATGTATTAAACAACAATCAACACAACACAATAAAACATCTGTTTTGACTGCAGCATGCACTTTGGATGTACCTAACCCCTTTCCAAACCAAATACATTGATGATGAGCCAAAATTCAAATACACCTTCAAGACAATATAATTCAAATTACCCTTTTTTTTTTGGTATGTTCAGGAGCGTTTGAGTCGGTTTATGTGAATTTCGATTAATTTTCTTATTAGTTCAATCAAAAATAGGTCATTTACGAGAAATAAATTTATTGATTTAAAATATTTGAATTTATAGTTTATTTTTGTTTCTATTGTAATTCATTCAAATTCTATCTACGTTGTAATTTCAATGATTTTCCGACCAAAATCCAAATAAAATATAAAATGAATATCTACAGGTAATGTTAATCCAATTTCAAAATACAAGAAAAGCATTAACAACTATTTTACATTTATATTTTTCATATAATTAATTCATATAATCCCCAAAAACAAAGCTTGAGATTTACATTACGAAGACAATCCCTGCATATTACGCAAATTCAAAAGCAGGATTGCTGTACAACAAGAAGGCGACTCAATGCTGCCCAACCCTCGCTTCCACCTTCCTCTTCTCCACCTTTCGGCACCGTCACAATCAGCTCACCATCCACAAACACCGCCTGCGCCAACTCCGTTCTCGTTCTCGCCGGCAGCCTAAACCGCCACGTGTCAACCTTCAGGTTATCCAACAACTCCTCGATGACGCCATCACCAACACCACCACTCCTGACGACAATTTTGGTAACCCCAGGGTGAATCTCCACGGCATGTGCCCTGACTTCATCACCGACCCCGACGGCGTCTTCGTCGTCGATCTCCGCAACGAATCGGAAGAATTCCGAGGTCTCCTCCACCGTTACGTCAGCGTCGGAGCGGAACGGGAGTTCCAGAACCTTGTTGAACACGTGAGGGAGTCTTTTGAGCTTTTTCTGGGCGCTACCTTCCATTAGGGTTAGGGTTTGCGACCATGAATCGAAGTCGTCTCGAACTGTGATGTTCCGCTTCATCGACACGGGATGAACCTTCATGGTTTCGATTTGTAGGGCTGTTGTTGCGAAGAATCCGAATATAATCGGAGTCAGAAGAATCAAAATCTTGATAAGGTTTGGGCGGCAATATGGTACGCTTCGAATCATCAGTTAACGGTCATAATTCAAGCCTTTTTTTTCTTTTCTCCGCTATGTTACCTATACATACAATTCATACATAAAATATACTTTTATGATGGGATTGAGAGAGATTGAAATGGAGATCAAAGAAGATAATGAAATCTGCTAATTGGGTATTTAGGGTTTATATACAGGGGACGATGAAATTGATAATTGCTATTTTTTTTTTTTGATTTTATCCATAATGATTGTATCAAACTAATTATCAAATGAATGGATTCAAAATTTTCTTCTCATTTGTCTTTGTCTATATATAGATTTTGCTTCATAAACAAGTCAATGAAGGTTCTTCTATCTCCTATCATCCGGTCGTCTCCACTGTCGTTGAGCCCATGTATCATATAAACCTTCTAGAAAATGGGGTCCTGCTAATGAAATAATTAATAATAGTAATGATGCGATACACGAAATATATATATATATATATATATTTTTTTTTTTTGGTTTAAAAAAAAATAATTTATACGTATTTCAACTAATTCTTTTTCGGTGCAGTCAAAGATAAGTCATTTTTGTCAAAATTAAGATATTTATGAGAAATAAATTTTTCATGGTTTAACTTCAAGAATTAATTATCTATATTAAAAAATTAGTTATCTATATTAGTGGGTTAGCTTTGAATTGAGTCTTGAGTTGAATAATTTTTTGGAGAAATGGGTGATGAAGTAGATCACAAAAAGATAGAGATAGGGATAGAGCGGGGATGGAAGCAGAAGCACAAAAGCTGCAAAAATTTGAGAGTAAGAGCATCTTATTATATGCATATTGACACACATTCATTCATTAAAATAAATAAAAATAATATTTAAAAAATTAATTTTTTGCACAACTCTATGATAAACTATTAATTTTTAGATATATGTTGACTATAAATTCTTAAAATGAAAATTATAATTTACAAATAACATTATAATTTGATACGGATTTTTGGTATGATACTTGTCACACCCCTATTCTGGATCACATAGGGTGGGCGGCGGACCAGCCATCAAGGTCTTAACCAACTAATCCTATACATAATAAATGTAAAATACAGCGGAAGACAAATAATAAAGTGATTCACCACCGACCTAATGAATATCAGAGGAATAAATGAAACATCACCAACATCATTACTAAATCCATGCAAAACAATAATTAAATCATAATGTTCATTACTCTAAACATAAACAATATTGTTACCAAAACATTTAAACATTTGTTTTAAAACTATAAAAAAATTTTAGTCCTAAAAACCTACAATAAAATAAAATTTTAATTCTTCTAATTCTTCACCTTGATTATCACATGAAAAATGTTAAATGTTTGGATAAGTACAATAACCCGTGAATAGAAACCACCTCTAATGAGGTGTGAAAATAAATCTCATTGTTTATATACAAAAATAAATTTTTGATAGATACATAAGTACAACAAATTGTATCTCAACCCTTCTCACATAATCATTTTAAACAAAATGATTTCATGATCAAAAATAATTTTATAAATGAAAAGACTTTTATAACCCAAAACACCCACCCATTTTTATAAATAACTTTATAAATAAAAAGACATTTTATAACTCAAAACACTCACATACACATTTAGTTCCAAATACATTTGTCAAATCATATTTGTTATCACTAGTTTGGTAATTGACTCAGTCTCTTGTTATCATTAGCCTGATATTGGTCTCGTCTCTTGTTATCACTAGCCTGNTAATTGACTCAGTCTCTTGTTATCATTAGCCTGATATTGGTCTCGTCTCTTGTTATCACTAGCCTGGTAACTGACCCAGTCTCTTGTCATTACTAGCCTGATGACTAACTCAGTCTCTTATTACCACTTAGACCTGATAACCCCCGTATCCGTCTCATAAACATGATTTTTGTACGCACAAAAACTGCAATTTTAGTCCTAACGTACACAAAATTTCCTTTTCATCACTAAAGCAATGATATAAAATCATCTCACAATGTTATTCAAAATTCACATGTAGAATAAGTTCACAATTTTAAAACATTTAATTGCAACTCCAAACATTAACACATGTATCATATATATAAAGAATCTACACGCAGGCATGCACCCACCTTGAATATAGAAAATCCTCCCAAAAGAAGTAGTAAACTATTTACTTTAATTTCCAAAATTCTATTCAAAGTAATCTTTTCCAACCTTAATGCAATCACCACCTAATCCAAAATAACATATAACAATTAATCCCTATTCCTAACTTCGTCGTGTCACGATTTTATATTTAATTTACGTACTTCCTACCAGTTGATATATACTTAATATATCCTTTACATATAACTATTCTTTCTAATACGAGATAATAGGGTATAAAAGTATTCTGGGTTGTTTAGAAAAAATGCTAAAGTTTTGTGATTAAATCATAATTTTTTTGAAACTTTTGGAATTAAAGTGCAATTTCTTTGAAAAACGAATTTTCATAAATCTTCAAAAATTATGTTCTTCCAACTTACTAAGTAAAAATAGTGGTTAAAATTAAGTTTAGAAGAGTATATGGATCAAAATAAAGTTCTTTGAAATTAAAAGGATGATCCTATAATTTCTAGATTTGGTCTTCTATTAAATTTCAAACAACTACATACCTCAATTTAATATAATAATTTCAAGAAGACCCATATATATACATATATCCACCGATATTATAAACCTTACACCATCTAATTGAATAAAAATATAAAACCCATAAAAAAAGTAATCAATCTATACCTTTAATGAATTGAACCCTTTTTCTTTTTCGTTTTNGCATGTTGAACCCGAGGGTAACTTGGCTTGTGTCCGTACACCAAGGACAATCATCTTAGTTGGAGTCAAATTCTTCACCTTACAAACCAAAGCTGAACATATCCACAAAGGCACTCTATTTACTGATGATCCATTTTCGAAAAATTCTCCCTTATGGGGGAAGGTTAATCCTCACATCAACACGGAACATAAAGTGACCTGTTATGGAACAACAATCAAACTAGGTCGATGAGTTCCTAAGGCATTGGATGGGCATCAGAGCCATTGAGGAGAGGCAAGCACCTATCAAGGTGAGTGAGCTAAGATTGTTTTTAGGGCTCATGAATTATTACTGAAGATCCACCGTAAGTTACTCGAAGAGGGCTAAAAAATATCCTAAAGAAGGACGTACCAACCATCGTTGTTTTCCGGTGTGAGTGAGCCTTATATGGAGTTTAACTAAAAAAACCATCAATCACCACAGGTAATATGCAGAGTATGAAAAAATTACCCAATAAAATGGTGGACAACCTACATATTTGCCAACTCCATTTGTATCCGAGTTCCATCCAGAGCAAGAATATGTTCAATATTCGAATCTAGCGACCTACCAAATTTCCACAATCCAAAAAGAGCAGCAGCTCCTGCAAAACAGGTGGAATAAATAGATAGACACACACAAAAAAAAAACTTCTATATTTGCAAAATATTAGGATTGTCCACATATACTTGTAGAGAAACAGAGAGTGATATAATAGAAACTTGCAATACAGTCAACAATAGGTATAGGTGATAGTTTCATGTTATGTTTCCCAGATTGCTGGTCTTGGTAAAGTTGCAGTAGATCTTCTGCCAACTATGATGGGTCGAGGCTTAACACAATAGGGGAGCAGGGTGGAGTAAATTTTGGTAGGTAGTAGATAGTGTGGATTTGGCTATAACATACTCTACCCTATCAGATAACAAATCAACAAACATCACAACAGAAAAAGCTTTAAAATGGGATTTTAATCAATGTAAAGCCAAGTAAAGAAGCATGGATACTTGCATGGTACTGGAAGAGCAAATATAGGAGAAATGAAAGGCACCTGAGGAGGCTATTGTCCAAGCTTTACACCATAGGTTCAATAATTCTTGTCTGGCAAATGGTAATTAACCCAATTTATAGCAGTCTATGGTGATGCTCTAAATGGAGGTACAATCATAATGAACATTACTACAACAATTTTGACATAGATAAGGGTGTTCTTTTAATGAATGACCACTTTCAACAACATGATGCACAGTAAAAATATTATCGTCATGATGTCACCAGGCCATCAAAACATCAATATACCACCGTAAGTACACATTTTCTCGCATCCAGAACAAAAACCATTGGGATGAGAGACTTACAATTACCATTTCAAGGATGTACTTGCATATGAATTATGCTTACTATTAATCATTAGGTTTCCATATTATGATGTAGTGATTGATGTAATATTCACTGTATTTGGGTGTCTTATATAATATCTAGGCAATGTTAGAAGTTTTAAAGTTTCTGTAAAATGTCATTCAAGTTCATATTGTTTAAAAATTAACAGGGTTTAGTGCTATCAACACTTTGGCATCTGAATGATTTCATTTATTCAGTGCACAATTTGCCCTGATTCCTTTTGTAAGATGTAGCACAAGATGAAAAAAAGATAAAAGAATTGCACGATGTATAACCAATAGCAGGTATCATTAGGTTTTTTAACAAAACAATTCAGGAATTGAACATAAAAGGGGCAAACCAACAAAAAAGATGAGTAGATATATAGACAAAGGAGGAAGGGTGGAGGGATGGGCTGATGGCATCTCTTACCTCCTGAAAGGTTGATGCGGAAAAAGTTATTTAGCCTTCGACTTGCTGTCATACAGAATTGAGATTTTCAAAAACAAAGTGACCCAAATAAATTATAAAACCCCTTGGATACACCAACAAGATGAAGTAGAAGAAGCAACAGACAATTATGTGATCAGCTGAACCTGACCTCCATAGATATAACAACTTTAAAATTTATGATCGATTCTAAAATATCATATCATGATCGATCCTGGAAGTTACGACTTGTTACTACTTTTTTAGGTCAAATTACACCTTTTAAAAGTGAAGTTACAACTGATTAAGGGTACTTATGGTTAATTATAACATTTTATGATTGATCATAGAATTAACTTCACTTTTAAAAAGTATAACTTCATCTCAAAAAGTAGTTACTTTCNAAAAAAAAAAAAACACACCATAAATTACCTGTCGAAATTAGGTGTGAGTATCCACAAGGATATGCTCATCACTAATCAGAGTTCGAATGAGAAGCAACATGAGGGCGATACTTTCGAGTAGAGTTAGAGTAGACCATGGCTTGGATAGTTCCAAAAAAAAGGTTTCCATGCTCAACTCCTGTGTCTCCAGAAGACTTTGACTCAACTTCAAACTGGGTGAGAAGGAAAAAGAGAGAATACCAAACAGCATTCACCACCAGAGCAGCCACCACTGCTGTGCATCAACATATACATAGACTTTCCCCTATTTATGAAAATACCACATTCTGCTTGACAGTTAACAGGAGATTATTTCCAGTAATTTGGATGTCAACCTCACTCTTAAGCCACGGTATCTTCTGAATTTGGAGAAACTTCCCGATGGCGCATTCGATGCTTGTGATGAGATCGTTTATGACGATGACTATGTCTTTTGGAGGAGGTGCTGGAGGTAACAGGGTGACAAATCTCCTCAAACCCTGATGGAAGCCCAAGAACGCAATCAAGTGGGTCTGCTATTGCATCAGCACCTGGGTTCCTCTATGATAATGAAAATAGGTCAGATAAAGAAAACTTAAAGAGGCACTCGGATATGAAAGAAAGGAAATCATCCATTTTTTAAGTTATGCTTACAAAATGTGAATACTTTTGCACATGGTCCTTTTAAAATTAGTGTCTTTGTACATTGGAAGAGGCAGAGAAAAAAGAGAAGAGAAGAGAAGAGAGGAGGGGGTGGGGGGATCACATACATGATACATGCAAACCCCACCATGTTTAAATTAAAGTTTATTTCCTCTAAGCCACCTAATTTCCTCAGGTGACAAAAGCATGGCACGACAATGAGGAATTTTGTATCACTACATCAGAATGTTTATGAAACAACTTTAGTAGTATAAGAAGATTAGTCAGGGATTCTTACAGAAACTTGCTTCAGCTCCACATCCATTTTCTCTGTATCAGTCTTCTCTGAATCAGTCTTGTCATCAGAAGAATCACTGACATGTGACCTCTGAGGAGCACCATTGTCAGCAAAAAAATTTCGGTGACGCCACCTTAATTTTGGCTGGTCTGAGGATGAATCATCATAAACCTTCTCGGAGTAGAAATGTTTGGATAGAAGGTGTGTTGTCCACTTATCATCCACATTGTTTCTCACCAATCTACCATGTGGAAACTATATCATTACATACTTCAGAGACCTCAAGAAAGGGAAAAATACTAAGATTTTGTAGCCCACAGAGAGATGGCAATGATGAAAAAAAAGAGAGAACAGCTTGAAAAATATGTTTCTAGGTTAGTAAACAGTAACCCTTTACCACTCAGTTCTTTTCAAAGTGTTCAAGGAACTCTTTCTTTTTTTCAGTTAATTCTTTTTTTTGGTCACAAATATATCTAAAGATGTGTGTTCCCCAGATCCCGCAATGGCGGGAGCCTCATGCACTGGGTAAAGATGAACCGTGATAATGCATAACCACAAGTATTAGCCTTTACATCGTTATACCCAAAATTACTAGTAGGCGACCGTGGTAGGTACTTAGAATTTAAATTAGCCTGGGATATGGTGAGTGTATAGCCAAAAATGGGGGACATCATAAATTCTCATTTTCTTTTATTTACTGTCACAAAATCACCACAGGCATTATCAATGCTTTTTCCTCCCTTTTTAACCATTTGTTTTTGCTCATCTATTACTTCCACTAAAGCAGGGCCTCTCCTTTACTCTTGTACAGAATTGAATAAACAAACAAAACTATATATACAAAAAAAAAAAAAA